GGCATGTTTCTGTTGTACCTTCTATATTGGGGTTTATAAACCACAACCAGTGAGTGTGGCTATGTAACTTTTAGATGTGAAAATTTCCATGTAGAATAACCAAAAAGTGTTATATATGGCGTTTCGATGGCTAGTACGGTATGTACTCTCGATGAAGGACATAAACAACCTGTCAAAATATATATACAATACAATATTATAAACATACGATTTGTGACTATGACCTTAACGGGAGTACTGGACAGTTGACCGTTGCATCCCAGATGTTTTCTTTCTTAAAACGTTACGTGGGGTAGTGGTAGGAGCTGCGGATATTTATAGGATAAACAATGTGTTGCCGTAGGTCGGCGAGAGTACGAGGGGCAGATAAGGCAGGGATCATACATTTGTCGTCTTTCGTCACTCGTGATTCTATTTATATATTTATGGGCAATATCGTGCCCCCTTTTGCCCCTTTTCCCGACAGGCCACACCACACCCAACAAACGGCAACAAATCTGTTAGCCTATAAATAGCCGCAGCTCCTAAATGTACCAATATACCACCTAACCTTTTTAAAAAAGAAGGTTTCAGTGATGCAGTATGCAACATTCCGATAATCACGATAAGGTCATAGTCACAACCCATATGTGTTTATATGAGTACTGGGATTGGATTGTGTACAATTGGATACACGCTGTGCATATTTCGACAGGATATATATGTCTTAAACAAGCGGATTAGCATATACTAGTGGATATTGAAGCATTTGATTATTGGTTTTATAAATTACATAGAAACACAACTAACAAAGAGGGACACTGTTTGACTTGTTCCCTGTCTGGGCCCCGCACTCGTGACCCAGGACATTATATTGCATAGTCTGGAAATTGAAAATATGTACACATGGGTAAGACTTGAGCAAATGTTATAACATATTTAAAGCAGAACGTTATTGTCTCAATATAAGAATCCTTTCAATTTGTTTGTCTTGTTTTGATAGCAAAATGACATGTTTGACCTGCCCCTGTTATAAACGGGTTTTGTTGTTGTTTTTTTTAAAGAAAGAATTGAGTTTTGGCTGAGGTCTATCGCTACCTATGCTATCGAAATAGCAGCACATGGTAAAGGAACCCCTCCTATCATCCTCGTAGGATCTCATTTGGACTTTCTTTCTCGGAATGTAAGTATTTTAATTCACCGATAACACATATGTGGATATTGCAAATACAGTTGTTGTCATTCTATGTCTTATATTGCGTGTGCAGTTAACTCTATAAGGGTTACATATCTATTTTTTTACGATAAAGATCAAACTGATGCTATTTTGGTGCGATGCGTGGTCAAAAATATGTACTGTGTAAACATACGATATAGTCACCAAATTAATGTATAGTTTAGTTTAGTCTGTTTTTAGCTGTATAATACTTGTCATTCTAACATAGCTCAGTCAGCGCATTCCGAACAATGACTGGAATTACTGGCAGCCAAGCCCTATGTGACGCAGGATTCGAGTGGCATGTACTGTTCCTAGTAAGACAGGGGCATGAACATGTTTTAGATCATATAACGGTTAAAGCAGCATGCAACAGAAAATGGTTACAGCTTTTTTCGCACGCATGTCCAAGCCTGCCAAACGTCCCTGCTACCAGAACGACTTCACTCGCTGTTACATCTTAAACTTTCGCAATGTTCGAAACTATCTCAGATAAAGTAAAAATGATTTAAATCCATTTGGAATTCAGTCACAGCCTTTTTTTAGCATCAGGTGAATGTTGGTAAAGTTAGCTGAAGCAGTGTTGAGATTCCAAAGAGAACGTGTAAATGATACGTCATATTGCCACAGGTACATTATCAATGATTACAAGTTAAAACTTGACATGAAACGGGTGCCTTTTTGGTTTTGTATACCTTTGTTACCTTTCTATATACGGAATTAGTTGGTTTGGAACGTGTGCATATGGATTGGAATAGTTTCACATGTCGTCCAGTTGTTGAATAAAACTTTGATAGAAAAGAGTATATTTAACAACTCGTCAGAATTGAACAATCCTAAAATATTAAATAGCAGGGCTTCCCGTGTGGTAAGTAAGTAAACCCATTCTGTCCTTTCTTTGCAACAATGTTGAAATAAATTGGGACTGATTATCGAGTAAAGATGTGTTATATGTCTGAAACTGAATGAAATCAATAGTAAATTCAACGATTAATGTTACTATTTATATTACTACCGGCGAAGGCATGTTTTAAGCGCAATTCAACGTGCATTTTCTTTAACGCAGAAAGAAGAACAACAGCATTTATTTGCCTCAGTGCTAGAAGAGCTCTACAAGAAACAGGACCTACGTGAAATTATGGAAACCCACGTCCAGGAAATGTTCCCCATTGCAGATCTGAATGATTCCACGAAAAATCAAGCAACGTACCAGCAGATGTGGGAAAAGATCATAGCGATTGCCCCACTCCAATCTCAGTGGATGAAGCATGTACCTGCAAGATGGGTCGCCTTTGAACACGAGTTGGTGAGACTGAAGAATGATGGCAGGGTTATCCTGACATATGATGATTTGTTGGAAATCAACAGGCAGTTAGCAGTACCATTAGTAGAAGATGACATAATGGAATTCCTATGGTAAGTATAAATCATCATTACACATTTCATCAGATATGTTACTATGATTTGATACTTTTCAAACCGATATTTTTTATTTGGTTTAGGAAAATAAAGTTTTCTGGATCATTCCTGTGCTTTGATCTTCATAACAAGAAACCGTTCATCGTTCTGCAAGCACAGTGGATAATAAATGCATTCAAAGCCATCGTCACTGACCCAAAGTTCATTACGGAACTAACAATGAAGCAAAAACTTGAGTGGACAGCATATGAGAAATCTGGTGTTTTACCAGTAGAATTTATCCGGCAACTTTGGGGACGATACCAGGAATTACGATTCCTTGAGCAGGAAGAAACTCTCTACATTGCATTGGAAACTCTCGGTTTACTGTCCAAACCACTGTCTGTAGACGCAGAGGTGAATTACTTCATAGTACCTAGCATTCTTCAGACTGCAGATCCCGAGATAATTCGTCCCGTTCTTGATGATCCTGACACTGTCACAACTGTTGCCCTTTGCCTCAAGTTCGACAATCCGTTCATCCCACAGGCCGTCTGGGACAAGATGATTGCCGCCTGTATCCACAGGTTTCAGCGACTTGAAGAGCCCCGTCTTGATGGTTCGAAGTTTATTCAACGCGGATTTGCCTGTCTGCAGGTGAAAGGTCTTTGGAAAATGGTTATCTTATGTAAAGACAATGCCATGAAAATGGTAATGTTCACGAGAAGTAGGGATCAGGCAGTACTGCTGCCTGGCACCGGAATCAGTCTTCGTAAAATCATGCAGGGTATTCTGAATCGAGTTCTGAAGCTGAATAATCAAAGTCATCTTAAGTACCGATTCTACCTCCACAACGACTACCGATTCACATCAGGTGAAAGAATGGTTAGAGTAGAAGATCTCTATCGAAGGGAAAGTGTAGAATGCTACAGTTCGGATGGATCTGGATGGATACACAAAAAGGATCTCTACGTCTGGTTCGAGGATGACAAGCAGAAGGTATGTGTACTTAATGCATCATTTTCATTAAGAGAGGATATAATTAGGTTCCTATTCACGAATTAAAACTAATATTTTCATATTATATTAACTAATTCAATGTTTCGTAAATAGATATCATGGTAAGTTATTTTGTCAAGCTGATGGAAATATAATATAAATAATATACTCATATGTAATATTATCTGAGAATCTACATGTTTTACAACTTTTATGTATATTTTAGCTTTATATGTCTCATAGTTCTTTATTAATTAAACAATTATACTGAGTTATCCAGTCCTTTACACATCCTTTCTGTTACAGATGCAGCAGACTGATCAGCACTACGCTGGTAAGATTATACCGTTATGTTCATGTTAACGGACGTCGGCGGCCAAGGAAGTGGGCGGGCGTGTCTATATTAACTTCTTCCTATCTCATTATAACAGTCTAGGGAAACCGCGTGGGTGGGCGGTCGTATCAACATTCAATTATTCCTTTCTTATTATTACAGTTTAGGACAGCCGCGTGGGTGGGCGGGCGTGTCTACACTCAATTCTTCCTGTCTCAATATTACAGTCAAAGGCAGATGCGTGGGTGGGCGAGTGTGTCTAAATCGACTTCTTATTTCACTTTATTACAGTCAAGGGCAGCCGCGTTGGTTGGGCTGTCGTGTCAATATTAAATTCTTCCTTTCTCATTATTACAGTCTAGGAAAGCAGCGTGGGTGGGAGGGCGGGTCTACATTAACTGCATCTTGTCTAATTATTATATTATAGGGCAGCCGTGTGGGTGGGCGGGCGTGTCTACATTAACTTCATATTTTCTCATTATTACATTATAGGGCAGCTACGTGGGTGGTCGGGCGTGTCTACACTAAATTCTTCCTTTCTCATTATTACAGTCGAGGGCAGCCGCGTGGGTGGGCGTTTCTGCATTACATTCTTCCTTTCTCATTATTACAGTATAATACAGCCGCGTTGGTGGGCGGGCGTGTCTACATTACATTCTTCCTTTCTCATTATTACAGTCGAGGGCAGCCGCGTGGGTGGGCGTTTCTGCATTAACTTCATCTTGTCTCATAACTACAATCTAGGGTAGCCGCGTGGGTGGACAACACGTTATATCGATGAGCTAGGTGTTTATTAAAGCGTAATCTTATTTAGTTAAGCCGGTCGTTGTTTTGTTGTTTTTCATCTTTTTATGTTGATGCAGTTTCATCCGTTGCAGACAAAACAAAAGATGTACCGGGTAGACATTTGTCACCCAAAGAGATTGGTAGATTGTCTAGATACATCGGCAGTTCATACCTGACGTTCTTTGTCGAGTTGAACTGTCCTGAGAAGAAAGTGGAACAGGAAATGGAAGAGCACCGCCACCTCGCCTTTAGATCCCGCATCACGAAGGTATTCTTGCATCTCCGCAAAATGAAGGCGGGTGCTAGTTTCGGGGCTATAGCTGACGCATTGTCAGAACATGGAATGGATTCAGGGACCCTGATGAACACTCTTGACACTGACCGCAATGTGAACAGCGTTTATGGTAAACATACGTCTTTTTGCATTAATTCGTTTATTCTGCTTTTATATATATATTTTTTTAATTTAAAAAATGTCTATTAAACAAGTACAAATGGTGTTTTTTTTATTGTTATCCACACATATTTGATCGGGGTTTTGGATTCTAAGATACAACACGTTTCTGGTTTTCCTCAGCGACGTCCTATCCCCTAGGTTAAGTATCGGTCAACATTAAACTTAAATTATCCCTGAAACCAATACTGTTTAATAATATAAACACTACCAGAATAATCAGAAGTGTGATTTTTATTTATGTTTTATCTATTGCATCGTGTTGTTTTTTTCTTTTCTCAAATGCATCAATACATAACTTGTTTCTAGACGAGACGTTGCCAGATAGCTTCCTGCAACAGTGCTTGTCTATGGAGGATGCTTCTAACATCGCTGACCATGTCGACATTAAGGCATATTTTAACTTGTTTCTGGAGCTCGGTTTATCACCGGCAAAGGTAGATGACTTTGACGACCAATACAGACACGTGCCAGCTCGCGAGAAGGTCACTGCCATGCTGGAAGCGTTCATAAAAGAGACCAATCCCTGCCCAACGGTCAACACAATACTTCTGGCGATGCGGGAATGCGACATGGACACCGAATCCCTGGTCGCAGCATTAAAACTTCCATAGGTACTGAACATTTTAATATTTGGAGAAAAAACAAAAGTTCAAACTGTCTAGTAACACTTAAAATGTGGAGATGCTTCATATCATTTCTTATCTACAGAAACCCTTTCTCTTTTCAAATCGACGCTACATAATTATATATTTACAAGATATGAAGTAATAAATTGGCATAAAAGATGACAACAGAACACTTAAACTTCTTTTATCAAGACAACGAAAACAAGACCAACAATTAAATCATATCAATGTTATCCTCTCATTGATAACGTAATGGTTGTTTGGTACATGTACCTTAATTATCATATGTATCTGACTGATAGCATATTTACTGACACACAAATTAGTCGTGGTCAAAAATAATAAGTATTAGGTTATAAAACTGTTTTGAATTATAAAAAAAATGTGGTCTCAAACTAACATATATATGAACATATCATAATAATATTCTTTCCGTTTTATTGATTGTAGATACATGAGGTTTTAGTGAGGTCTGTTGTCTTGGAGACGTGATAGAAGATATTACAGCTATCCACTAAACCTGGTTTAGGAGGTGATGCACCAGTTGAACCCAGGAGGGTAGGGCGTAATTAGGACGACTGTATCATAGTTAATATTTGTGTTTAAATGCGTACTCAAATTCAAACATCGTGTTGCTGACTTAAGAAATATTAATACTGGTCAAATACACAAATTGTGGTATTATGAATGGTCAACATTTTGTCATTGGCTGTGTAAATAAGACATGTAATGTATAATTTGCAGAATTGAAAAGTCACCTTTTAGTATTTAACACTAAATACAAATATAGCATGTATTCAATGGTTATAAGATAATCAATACACACACATAATATAATGTTTTATAAACAACATATATCCCTTAACGTCGTATGTGTATTAACTATCTTTTGTACATTTCAAGATATATTTTATTCTTCAAAGCAAGATGTAATTCAATGACAGTTTGGTCATTATATGTAAAAATGCATCTATAACAAACCGTTTATATTTGGAAAAAGGGATATCTTTAATTTTGGGAAAAAAACATTTGCAATGGAGAAATCTAATCTGAGTTGCATATCAAGATTTTGTCATTCTTTTTAAAGATATCATTTGTTTCTATTAGATATTTCTCTATTTCATTTTAAAGTGTTTCCTTTGTGTGCTTCTCTTTTTCATTGAAATTTATGTCAAAGAATTTGGTGACCCTATTTGGTTATTAGGTCTTTTTACCAACTGGTGAAAAGACCTATTGTTTTTGTTATGTTTCTTCTTCTTATTATTATTCTTCTTATTATTATTCTTCTTCTTATTATTATTATTATTCCGTACATTGTGGAATCTGTATCTTTTGATTGGTAAAAGATAGGTTTATAGTCTTTTAGGTATGTTGTAGGCCAAGGTCTGAAGATTTCAACGAAACATTTTAAATTAGGTCAAAAATACAATATGGCTGCTATGACGTCATACCTCAAAATCTTAAAATGGCCATAACTCAAAAACGGTTTAATTTACAGAATTGACGCAATTATATTATATGTAGATAATCTTAGGGGCTAACTTTTATTCTGAATGTTATTTCATTTAAAGGTCAAATAAAAAGCTCGCTGTTGGGTCACAATTTATAAAAAAACATTTATTTTTCATTTTTTTTAAGAATATTTTTACAGATCCATGCAGAATGTCATTCCAATGAATTTGATGTCTTTAGTGTTTCTGTAACATTAACCGTTAACGTTTTACGCCATTTTGAATATTTTCTTTGATCTTTTAAAAATTATCGCAATATGTTAAAACTTGTTTTACTCCCGTATCAATGACAAATATTTCATTTAGTTGTAATGGAAGAGGTTTCCACAGATTTCCTCTAACATTTGGTAACATTTTCAACTTCATCAAAAAACAAAATGGCCGTCATGGCGTCATATCTGATTTTGTTTCTAATTGCAATACCTCATTAACAGGTGAATGTATTTGATTTATCTTTGGATATGTTGTGCAGAATAAAAAATAAATAACTTTTCTCAGGAAACATTTTTGTGTCAAAGGTCATCTTCCGGTTTTCGGTAGGGGTCAAAGTTCAAATGCACTATTGGGCAACAAATTTAAAAAATCTTCTTCTAAAGTTCCACAAGGCCTAGAGTCTTGATATTTTATATTTGAAATGCTGAGATGATTGGGTATCAGGTTTAAAAAATGGCTGACCTTGATCGACTATCAAGGTCACAAAGGTCAAATGTTTAAAAAAAATCAAAAAAAAAAAATCAAGAATATTTCGAAAATTGTTCTAAGATTCACTTTATATTCAGGTATGATGTGGACAGCACTAATGCGCATATTTTTGGCAGAATTTTTTTTTTGAGTTGATCAGGTCCAGTTTTGAGTTGTTTAGGGGTCAAATTTCATATGTGCTATTTTAGGGTAACAACTTCAAAAATATTTTTCTCAATAACCAAGTGACCCAAGGTCATGATATTTGTTGAATATCATGCTTGAGCAATGGACCATCAGGTTTGATAATATGAATGACCTTCACATATGTTCAAGGTCACTGGGGTCAATTATGTTAAAATCTTCAAAATATTCCTTCTCAATAACGAAGATGCCCAGGGTATTGATATTTGGTCTGTAGCATGCTATGATGATGGGCTACAAGGTTTATTGACACAAATGACCATTAAAGATCAACTTCCGGTATTTGATAGAGGTCAAATTCGAACATGTTATTTTACCAGATACCAGGACTTTTACTACTGGTGTAATGAAAATAACTCGTATTAGCTATAAAGCCAAATCAGTCCTTACAGTGAAAAGCCCGTCAAATTGTTAGCCAACAATTTCTAGTTATTATTATTATATCTAAGTAAGTCATAATCCACACGTACATATTTAATGTTGTGTCTGTGTGTAAATACATGGTATGTACGTAGGCTGTTTACTTTATCAAATATACAGGATATTGCACAACATTTTTGAAGTGTCTAATCGAAGACACACATAATTTGTATACGTTTCGGGCTGCGTCGATAAGTATAGTTACATGACCCCGGACCGTTAATTTTACTTTATATCATCGTAACCCATCCGTTTCCATGTTAAAACTAAGGGATGTTACTGGTCTAAATGGTGAACTGTCTGGTTACGGCGATTTACCGTAATAACGTATATCAATTTATTTCCTCGAATGTTGCATTTCGCAATTGGCTTAAATTATGGCATTTTAATATTGACTATCAATACTGATACTAATTACAATGGAATCAAGATTAGCAGAAAATTCCAGTTCGCAAATAAATGTGAAAATAATCTCTTCAGAATTAAAGTTATTTACAGTATGTTTCATTAATACATTTTTTTCAAAATCATCTCACAAAATAGGATTTTCAAAATTGATAGCAATTCATG